CGTTACGTTACGTTACGTTACGTTACGTTCGTTACGTTCGTTACGTTACGTTCGTTCGTTCTTCGTTCGTTCTTCTCTTCTCTCTCTCTCTCTCTCTCTCTCTCTCTCTCTCTCTCTCTCTCTCTCTCTCTCTCTCTCTCTCTCTCTCTCTCTCTCTCTCTCTCTCTCTCTCTCTCTCTCTCTCTCATATTTTCAATCCATGGTTTTTAGGACTCTTTTAAGTGTCTCTTTCTATCTCATATTTTCACTTTGTTGTTGTTAGGATTCGTAAGTGTTGACCCTTCATTGCGTTAAGGACTAAGAAGCTGGCACCTCTTTGGAATTCTTTGTTAGTGTCTTGGCAAAGGCCTGTCTGTCACAGGAAAAAAGTACAGATCAGTAATTAGAGAAGTAGGTCCTTCATTTCAGCAAAACCTGATATGAATGAAGATTTCAGCTCTCTGATCTAATGAATTCGTTGAAAAACCAGGGACTTGAAACTTTTGAGAATGGGTTGGACACCTATTTACAAACATTGAGCCCTTCACTTATCTAAAATCTAACAAAACCATATCATACATGGAAATTTGGTTTTATGCTCAGGCCAGTCATGAGTAGTTCAAATGCTAGAGAGAGTCTACCTTTCTTTCTCAAGCTTCCTCTTGGCCTCATCCAACATGATCCTTATTTCTGATGCCAAACTGTAGCTCCAAAAAACCTCAAAAATTAATTCAACAAAAAAATGGGGGATGTGATGAAATGACATTCATAAAAGTGGCCACTGAAAAAGATTCAGTGAATTAAATATATGAGAGCACATAATAGAAGCATGCGACAGAGAATCTTCGTTTTTGTACGAGGGGAAGCTTTTGTATGACTTGTTATAGATTGTGACCTTAGCACCTGCTAACAATTTGGATTGTTCTTTGTAAGATAGGAATATTCACATCATTTGATTGAATCAGACAGGATTGGATCAATTTAAACACAGTCAGAGGTGTTTTCTAGTCTACGATATCGAATCCGCATTTGTTATCATTTATCCTTTGCTATAAATTCACTCTTATCACATCAAAAACGGAAACAGAATACTAACACAGCTTAAATGCATTTTCACAAATTTTATCTAACATAAGAACATCTCTGTCACTCAAAGAATGCTGTTAGATTAACCTCAACATTATTAGCTACCTGAAGGAACTTGAGCCATTAAAAAGAACTTGAAGGAAAAGCATACGCTCAACTCTGATCTCTTAAGATGACATATAGAAACAGAAACTTTATTCACAAGAATTGGTTTGCTAATACAGAACACGACAGTAGAACAAAGCTCCATGTAAATATCAATAATAAGAGCCGATCCATGTTATAAATAGAGATTCTTCCTTCAGGATTTGTCAAATAATTGTGATAATATTCGAGGGAGATAGCCACTGCATTACTGGGTAAATTTCTATGCAAAAAGATTTGAAAAGCTTTCAATTCCAGAAATCGTCTTGAATGCTTAGATTGCTGAAAAACAAAAACCAAAACCCCAAATTCATAGTCAGCTAACATCAGAGATCATACCAAGAAATCCGTGAATCAATATGCAACTTTAATATCCCAACATTCCAAGTATACAGAAAATAAATGATTTTTGAAATAATCACCAACTTTCAGTTAGAAAAATGCATAACAAAGTGATAAAAGGATTATTGTTGTTTACTGAGTTATAACAGTAATCTAAATGTTGAGGAACTGAAAATTCTTCTTGGATTACAAGAATATCAAAGAAGAAGCCAATCTGCAAGAGTTATAAAGGCCTTAATGTAAATAGCAGAAGCCTTGCCTGGTAATTGTCTCCTCAGTCTTCTTTTGCCCATCCTTATGTGCCTTGTCTCTGATCTGATGCAGAGCTTGTATTATACCTTTAATGTCCCTGCAAATCCATTCAGTTCACCATTTGCATATTCATCACCAATCAATGAGATATTCTCTCTTTCCCTAACTCATACAACAGTTATCCATCAAAAGATTCTATGAGCTTTATATGCAATTAATGAAAAGAAGCTCGTTAGTGCTACTCTGTGTTTCTTAATTTCGTATAGGATCAAACTAGTGTGTTGCATTCTTGTTTCAAATGTACTAGTTGGAGCAGTAAATCCTCAATAAAAATTAAACTTCTATGAGTTTCATCAGATAATCATGCATAGAAAGAAGTACAATATGTTTTGTCATTTGAATTCTGTGGCCTTAAACATAATTAAGAAAAATTAGTCCTCTACGAGTTTTTGCATTTTCTAAACTTTAGTAGTTTAAAATTGGTAGATTTATCAGATTTCGTGTGTGGTGAGAGGAACTGAGATTTCATCACCTCATCAGTTCTAAGTTTTTGAAGATACATAATGAGAGAGTGTTCTTGTTCCAGAAGAAGCAGAATATCAGTTCTGATACATTTTTCTACAAATTCTTTTAAATTTCGTGCATAATTTGGCAAGGTAGGATTTCATCATTTCTAGGTATTGGAAGATTCATACATGGTAAAAAGAAAATTATTGTCCCAAAAGAAGCAGAAAGTAAGTCCTGACGCATTTCCAAATCAATCAGACAAAATTCTCACAGTTTTTTGTGAATAGTAAAACTAATATCTCATCACATCATCATTTCTAAGTTTCTGACGATTCATCGGTAATGTGAGAAGAAAGAATTATTGAAGAAGAAAAAGAAGATTATTCTTGATACATCTCCAAATCAACTTCTACAAAATTCTGAGATCTTCGTGCAGTGCGAGAAAGTATTACTTCATCTTGTCTGCATCATTTCCAAGTTTCTGAAAATTCATTCATAGTGATAGAAAATCACTGTCCCAGAAGCAGAAAACTAGTCCTGATACATTTCAAAATCGATTATCACATGACTACTACATTTCTCACACAGTGCGAGAGAGTGAGATTGAAGCATTTCTTTATCATTTCTCAATTTCTGCATGTATATCCATGACGAAGGAAAAATTTTGTACCAGAAGAAGAAAATTAATGCTCATATATTTTCAAATCTATCTGCTGAAACTAGGGAAATTTGATCATTTGAACTAGCCTTGAAAGATCTAGATCGAAATCAGAGTTCTCTTTATTCAACTTGGATGATGCCACGCCATCTTCATCTCCGCTTCGCTTTCTGGACTTTACCTTCTCTCCTCCAGCCATTAAGCTACAGTTCAAGCAATTTTGATGGCTCTCTCTCTCTCTCACCAATTTCGCGCTCTGGACTTTCAAACTCTTAAAATATTCGAAGGGTTTTCAACGCGGGTATCGCGTATTTATATACCGACCCCGAAGTATTGATTCTGCAATTTTCAGATTTTGAAGATTGATTTCGTGACTACCGAGATTCACCGCCTGAATTTTTAAAAAGGGTATCTATGGTGCGCTGGGCTGAAATTTGGTTCGATGTTTTACTAATTCCACTCAAAGCATAAGCGGAACTGGAAATTCGGTGATTTAGTTTAGAGAAATTTCGAAAAAATTTATTTTAACTACTGTAATATAGAAAATCCTCCCAACTTTTATTTTTGAGAAAGGTTTATACAGAGCCGAGGCTCTATACAATTAAATTTGAGCCTACCTCAAAACTTTTATTGGTAGAGGTTGTTTTGATGCCTCAATATCTTCGACATCTCAACAACAAGATGTATGGACATGAGAAAAAAATGGATTGCAAGTTTTGGGAATAGTATATTTTGTAATGCATTTTTTTGACCGTCAATTTTCAAAATTTCAAGTTTTCATAGATATGTTGAGCTACACTATTTTGAAGCTTTAAACTTTATAAATAAATATGAAAAAATATTTTAAGGCTATCACAAAGATTTTCAATATTGAGACCATATTTCTCGATACTATTTGAAGGTGGGCTCTAATTTGATTGTTTAGAGCCTAGGCTCTACACAAACTGCACCATTTATATTTTATCTCCGCACCTTCTTCTTTTTTTTTAGTTTTCTAAAAGAAAATTGTTTCATGTGGACTCGACTGTATTTCTACAAAATGCGGTCTAGAGGTATAAAGCCTCCATCTTAAAGATGGATTCAAATAGATGGCCCATCTAAAAACAAGTGTAACCAATGGTCCAAATGTTTTTTTAATATAATTATTATTTTTAATTTTTAATTATTATTATTTTTCATATTCATAATTAAAGATTATAAATTTTCTAAAAATTAAGATCAGATTATATTTTTAAAATATATTTATGGCCAAGCCTGCATTTCTACATTATGTAGGCTGACTACATAAAAACAATGTCCTTTTCTAAATTACCACCAATTTCCATCTTCAAGATCCAAATGCCAAAGCCGGATTAGATTTTGAAGATCCAAAAAATAGCTCCATGTACCTCTTTCCCCTCGACTTTTTTTGTTTTTCTCAAAACTACTACAACTTTTGTTCTTGAAGATTCAAGTCTATCTACAAAGTCAAATGTGGCTTTTGAGTGTCAAGATTTAACGTGGTGACAATTCATAAAAATAAAAGAAATTGACAAAAGACGAAAGGGGTATGTTGGGGCCTAACTTTAGATATTTGAAATCCAAATTCATAAGATGACTAATGTAACCGTGTTATGAGAGAGGTTTCTATGCTTTTTCTACTATATAAAAGATATACACTTCTCCGATCCAGTTATTCAATTTATATCAAGCGAGCGATTGACCGTTTGGTCTTAGATTTGACACGTCAAAGTATTTTATTTTTAATTTGTTCTATACAAATTATATGAAAATTGGTATGTGTTATCATCTCAATAGAGCACATCTAGAAAAGTATGCAATTTTTTTTTATTAAATATAATGATCAAAATACCCCTGAAATTTTTATAGGTCATTTTATCTCAATGGGAATATTTTTTGTATTTTTTTTAACAAGTGTGAGTTCAAGAGAGAAGTAGACGCCCAAAATTTGGCTTCAAAATGTTTTACAGAAAAAATTAAAAATACGATAGTGTAAAAGCGTGATATTATGACTGAAGCTATCTGAGCTGTCCATTCAAAATAGACAGTTGAATAGGGAAAGTATATAAGTTTTATAGAGTAAAGGAAGTATAGAGTGCTTGTCCGGAAGGAATTTGTATCAATTTTAGTTTACTGCCACTTTATGCAAGTATACTATTCATGTAACCTTAAGGCATCCACTGTCCATGCATCAATGAGTGATTAACCATTCCACAAAAAATGGGCGGATATAAAAGTGGGCAACCTCTCTTCACCCGCCCCTCGTTAAACATGATCGGAAGATGTTAAGTCTGAGTACCTTATTCAATGCAAGTACTAAATAGTTTTGAGAGTTGGTGGGAGTAGCAAAAACCCTTTGTGAGAATAATAGTCCCTTTTTCACATTCATGAAATTTGAAAATAATTTTGAAGAAAAGATTGTATATACCCATATCAATTTCTAAAATGACATGTTCATGCAACTCGGCTAGCAAGGTTCACAAAATGACACCCCTATTTTCCAATGCACTAGAGAAGAACCTTACAAGATTAGACTTCTAATTACAGAGTCGGACTTCCAAAAATAACCTTATAAGATTAGACTTCCAATTACAAAGTCGGACCTCCAAAATGACACATCATATTTATATAGTTTTAATAGTATAGCCACAATGTGACGTGATGATTCCATTTCAACCTGTTAACATATCAAAGATAAGAAGAAAAAACAAAAAAGAAAAATGATAAAAAAAAACCTGGCAATATTTGGATGAGTTGAAGAGGTACATTATCTGGGTTCAAGGGGTTCAATTAAGAGGAGATGCAAGCTCCTCAGCACTTGCCTGTGTTTGAGCTTTAATGCTTGTTTCAGGGTACTTTAATGGCAACTAGACTGAAAATAATTTCTTACAATTAAACTTTTCAGTTGTTCCATAGATTCACAGGCTAGAAAAGCCTTTCTTTCTAACGCATTTTTTCCCATTTCCTCCTTCTAGAGAGGAAACCATAAATAGATTATTGTGAATTTCAAGTAGCTTTTGGTTCTAAAAGTTTGTAGCCAAACATTGTTCTAATATTTAGGGAAAATAAGCAGGAGCAAATTTAAATTGTTTAATATCGAATGAGCATAAACATATACGTCCTCGTAAAAAAATAAAAAAAGAGTTAAAGCCTATACAAATGGTGAAGACCCTTCTGTCTCTTGCTCACAGACCCATGTGCTCTCTCTATAGTCTATACAAATGGTTAAGGCCCTTCTCTCTCTCTTGTGTGCAAGAGCGCTCACCCAACATTCATGCTTGTTTATAATTTTGAGTTAGATCTCTCACACACACTCACACATACACAACACATACAGACCAAATGTTTAGATTTTGTCAGGATTCATGATCGACGTATAGCCTTGCTCTCTTTCTTACCCATTAAGCCCAATATTTTGAGATGCGAAGGCGTATTAGTGTGGGAGGTAACGGGAGTACTTCGTATGTTATCATTTTAGGTTGTCGAGGTTTAGTGCCAAGCTTTTCACTGGTTTTATTGTAGAGCAAGTTTTCTATGCTTCCCCTAAACATAAAATTTACATACTTCCCTTTATCCAATCATTCATTCTGAATGGACGGTTAAGATGACCCAAATCACAATGTCATGTCTCTACACTATTTTATTTTTATTATTTTCTACAAAATATTTTGATACTAAATTTTGGGTGTCCAATCCTCTCTTAAACTTGCACTTGTAAAAAATATAAAAAAAAAATATTTCTAATAAAATAAAATGACCAAAATGCTCTTGAAAATTTCAAGGGGTATTTGGTTATTATATTTTATCAAAAATTCTTTTTAATGTTTTTTTAAGGTGCGCCGAAATGATAAGATTTCACCTACCAAATTTCATATTCATATAATTTGTAGAAAAAAAACTAAAAATAAAATATAGCCTGTTGGATCTCGTTCAAACAATGAGTGGCTTGATCAAAATTGGACAGCTGGATGGGAGAGGAGCTTATCTCCTATGTTGTAGAGGAAGTATAGAAACTTGTCCCTTTACGGATGAATATATGTTGTTATATATATTTGTATAGGGTGTGAATATATATTTTTCATGTTTTTGTATAAGGTGAACATATATTTGTACATGGACCCAATTGATGTTTTTCATTTGACTCTTTTTTTTAACTAGTACTTTCTATGTTGTTTTAATTTCTAGAGACGTTTTAACGTGCTTCGGAAGTTTTTATTAGTATAACGATGACCATTTGTTTAGAATCTTTAGACTATATTCACTCAGTGAATTACTTATGTTAATATTGTTTCAATGTTGTTGTTAATTATAGTAACATATGAAATAATGTGTTTTGAGCCACTTGTTACTCATTTATCTGAAATTTTTAATTTTCTTTTTTCTATTTACAGAATGATTTCCGGTTTTACAACATTTGAAACCAATGGTTTAAAAACCGGATCGGTGACCCCGATCGGGCTTTCCAAAAAACCGATCCGGATCGACGAATCGGCGATCCGGATCGGTGAATCGGCTATCCGGATCGGAATCGGGTGAATCGGTCAAAATAAAGCTTCAAAAAAATCCGAAAAAATTATTAAAATTCATTATAAATATTGTTTTTTAGGAATTCAATAAAAAATGAGGGTACTCCATTAAGAATTTTCATGTTTTTGAATGAATATGTGAATATTGATATGTTCTTTCCCTGCATGAACCGCCATTCAACATTTAATTTACATCACACAAAAGGATAAACATAGAATTATCATAGAATAAGTATATCAACATACATGGACTACAATAAAGCATAAAATTAGTAACATACGATCTAAAAATAAAATGATAGACGACGTTGTTGTTCTTCTTGGTCACGCTGGTGCCATTGATTGAATTCATTTGACAATTCATTGATTCGATCTAAAAACAATTCATTTTCGTACATATC